TACACTGCCATGCCCGGCTCTCTTTTATTTTTGTCTTCTGCTTGCTTCGGGTTTAACTGACACTTCTGTCTCTAATTCCTTAGGGGCAAAGCTTCTATTACTGATTTGAGACTTTTTCTATACTAATATAAGCTGTTTTCCTCCTAGCCCAGTGTTAGCTGCAGCTTGTAATTGTTGATGAGCTGCAATTTTCATCTTGATTCATTTCAAAGTATTTAAAAATTTCCCTTGAAAGCTCCTGTTGGTCTTGTGTGTGGATCTGACAGGCGCCTTTTTTGTTCCTGGCCTCTCACTTGGTTCTGTTGTGGTCTGGGAGAACCGTTGTATGTTTTCTGTTCTTTTAAATGTAAAATTGCCTGTGTCTAAGAACACGGGGTGTGTTGGTGGATGCCGCACACTGCCGCCACGCGGGATCTGCAGACTGCTCCTCTCTCAGGTGCTCTGCGAGCGTCAGGTTGGGGGTGACAGCCTTGCTCAGGTCAGCTGTGTCCCTGCTGATTTTCTGTGTGTATTCATTATATCCACTGCTGAGAGAGGAGGTGGAAGTCCCTCACTAGGATCACCGATTTGTCTACTTCACCCGTTAACACTGTGCACTTTGTTTTAATTTTCCAAGTTGATCTTAGGAGACAGGGTCTTGGTGTGTTGCCCAGGCTGGACTCCAATCCCTGGACTCGAGCGACCCTTGCCCCTCAGTAAATCTTCCACAGGTACACCTGCCTTACTGTCTGTTCTTGCTTTATGTATTAGCTTAACTTTTAATCTGAGAGGTGCAGGGCAGACCAGGTGGCTGTGTGGACTTAGTAACACTGAGGTAATAGCTTGCCGCCGGACGGTGACACCGACTGCGCTTTATTGCCTACCAGACCCCATGCCAGGTGCTTTCTTGGCATCTGCTTCTATCATCCCTGAGCGTTCTGTGGTGAGCACGGTGGTGCCACTGTCATTGCCATTTTACAAGTAGGAACCAATAGGAGCGTTGCCTGCCGGGGCGCCTGTCTCATCAGCGTCCTGTGCCAGAGCTTGGCACCTGGCTAACTTTGCAGTGAGGTGTGATGGCTTACTGATCTCAGCATGGCGTGTGTGGTTAGATAAATGTGCACAGTAGCCGCGTGCAGCGGTGCATGCCTGTAATTCTAGCACTTGGAGGGCTGAGGCAGGAGGATTGCCACAAATTCAAGGTCAGCCTGGACTACGCCATGAGACTTTATCTATAAATAAATAAATAAATGTATTTATGCAGTACCACCAGCTTAGTAGGTTCTGTCTTGGGCTCTAGAAACCGTGTGAGTGGAAGAGGTGCCTGAAGTTCACGAGGCAGCAGGGGCCGAGCAGCAGCCCCTGAGGTGGAGGGATCAGGCCCTCCACCAGAGGGCACCCCGGCTGAGGAGAGATCACACAAACCATCAGCACGGTTTTGCGCCTGGCCCAGGACACGCCTTTGTTTGTTTGTTTGCTTGAGACTCACTATGTAGCCCAGGCTGGCCTTTAACTCCTGGTAATCCTCTGCACTAGTCTCTGAGTGCTGGGATTACTGGGGTGCGCTACCATGCCGGGCTCAGGACGTGCCTTTTGAGTGAAAAATGGGTGAATGAAGACTTCCACCTTGCCTAAAGGAGTTAGGGATTTGTGGGACTGGATGCAGATGTGACCATTTGTTTTTTTAAATTTTATTTTATTTTGCAGTGCAGAGGCTGGGATCCAGGGCCTTGCACATGCTAGGTAAGCACTTTACCACTGCCCTACACCTGCAGACCTAGAACTTTTTATTTATATTTAAAAGTTAATATGATGTTAAGGCCAGTTTATTTTATAGTGGTGTTATGGCTTGTGTCTGGATGTCCCCCCAAACTTCACGCAGTCATAGGTGGGGCTTTTTCAGAGGTAGCTAGACTGGAGTGTGTGATCCTGGAGTCGATTCATGGTGCAATGCTAGGATCAGGGCACTAGGATTAGCGTGTGAATGCTGCCCTCCCTACGTAGCCTGAATAAGATATAAGGGACGGAAAGAGATGCGGTCCCTTGTTGCTTTGCTGCCTTCTGCCTGCCATGCACTGGTTCTCCTCTGTGATGCCCCTCTGCCCTGCCACCCTGCCTTGGAGCCAGCTGATTATGGACTGAAACCTCGACAAACTATGAGCTAAATAAACCTTTCCCCCTTTAATTGAGATGTTGGGTGTTTTGTCTCAGCAGGGAGAGACAAGCCCAAAGACGGGTAGGATTAGGAACACCTCAGAGCAATGACTGCTCAGGAGCTATGCCCAGCAAATCGGTACGTTAGAGTTGCCGGGGCACTGTGAGGTTCTAGCAGGCTCCCCGCCCGCTGTAAGGTGGTCCCTGCTGTCCGGGGCTCACTTGCTCGCAAGCTGCAGTGTCCTGCTGACATTACTCGGGTCGGGTCCTCTCCCTGGCTCTTGCTCTAAGACACGTGTCTTCCTAGGAGGCCCTCCACAGAGTGAGGCAGGTGAGGTTTCTGTCTGTGAGTTAAGGTGGAGCAAACAGAGCAAAGGGGTGGAGCAGCCTTGGCCCCAGCACACCCTGCACTCGCATACCCGTTTGTGCCCCGTCCAGAATGCATCCCGGGGTAGGGTGGTCTCAGGGAGGAGATCCTGGGCTCAGGCTGGTTGTGGGCAGCTTGCCCATGGTCGCCCGCTGGGGTTGAGTGGAGCCCTGGTCCGTGGCCCGGACAGTGGCTGCCAAAGCTGAGCCCTTCCTTGGAACCAGGTAGCCCCTAGTGTAGAAGAAAAAGGTAAAGGGGTTGCCTTAGTACCACACGTCTTCCCTCCTACCAGGGCGTAGTGCAGAGGACAAAGACTCAGCACACCGTGCCCATGGCTCTGCCGGCCCTAGCGCTCTGCACCGCGGTTTGCAGATGTACCAGCACTGCCCCAGCGGGCAGCGCCAGGCACCTCGGCAGCCCAGGAAAGGCCGAGGGCTGTGACCCTAGAGACACATTTTGCATGATAATACGTCCTGCCCGTGTGCCTGTCCCCGCTCTGGGCAGCCCTCATCCTGTCCCTCCTGTCCTTTGATGTGCACGTTAGTGCGACAATGGTCAGTCCTTTGCGTGGGATCGATGCGACTTTGACTCTCAGGCCCTGGTGTTTGTTTGAATGTCACAATGTACCCGGCTGCTGTTGACCTGCTGCAAATCATTCGCTAACAAGAGGACATTGCTCTGAAGAGACTCCGGGCCCTGGGTGAGGTGGAACTGCTATGAGCCTCCCCCGTATCCACCCGTGGGGCTGTCGCTGTAGAGCTGTGGCCGAGCCCATTCACCAGTGACCCAGGTGACCCGAGCCGTCCCGGGGCTCAGCTGACACTTCCTCCGGTCTCTGGTAGGTGACTCCTTCTGGTCAGCCCGTCACTCCTCTGCCACCTGTGACCTGGAGGGGGAGTCCATTCTTAGAGTTCCTGGGTGGCAGAAAGCCAGGACTTGCGATGCCTGGATGAGGTTAGGCTGAGGGGGTAGGGGCTACCCTCAGCTGAGGTGCCCACGAGCGTGCAGAGGTGACTGAGGGCGCCGGAGGGGCAGAGCCTGGGATCCCCCTGCCCTCCTCACTCTGACACGGCCTTTGGTTCTTTTCCACACATCCAGCTTCAGGGTGGAGGCCTGCCCTTGGGAATAGGTCCCTATGGCCATCAAGGAGGGGCCTTCTTTTGTCCTGGGCGGGGGCTGGGGAGCCAGGAAGGTGCCCTCTGTACTGGACTCTACTCCAAGCTATTAGTCATTCTTCCCTGCTAAGCAGGCCCTTCTCCAGGCAACATAAATCTGCAAGGTGACCCAGGGTACCAGATGGATTTTTTTCTTCCTGCCAGAGGCCGGCTGGCCTGGGCTTGGGGGCCTGGGGGAGGAGGGGCAGTGGAGCCATATTCCAGTTTCGATCAGTTTGGTTCCACTGTAATTGCAAGACCTGGGTAGATGTCAGTTACTTCTGGGTTCAGCTATGTTAGTTGGTTAATCCGTTTTTTTGAGATAGGGTCTTGCTCTGTGGTCCAGGCTGGCTTTGAACTGGGTGTAATCCTCCTGCCTCAGCCTCCCAAGTGCTAGAATTACAGGCATGTGTCTCTATACCTGAGAGTTAGTTAAATCTTTGAATGCCTCAGTCTCCCTTCTTCACCTCAGCTCTCAGATTCTGAAGCGAAACATATTTTTTCTTGTTTACTTCCTGTCTCCTGGGGGTACTCAGGACCCAGAAACACAAACTTTTACCCTTATCCACTGGGATAGGACCGGCTCTGCCCCTGGACTCTGAGGGTTGGCCCAAGCGGCCTCTGCCCTCCCTGGTTGGGTCTGAGGCTGCTCAAGCCGTTGGCTGTCTCATCTGCAGTGTGAACAGGACTGCAGGACAGTGAGACTTTTCTTTTAAGGTGGTTGCAGACTGCAAGAAAGAAAGCGTGTGCTGCCCTTGGGAACTGGCGTTAGTGACACCTCGTCCTGGTCGTTGTGGTCTTTGAGCTCCACAGAGCAGGCCAGGCCTCCTTCCCCACAGTGTGCACCGTTCGGGGGAAGACTTTCCCACTCGTAAAGATTTCTAGCAGGAGTGCTGTCCGGGGGCCCATCGGGAAGTAGGGGAGAGTGCCGCAGCGGTGTGGGCGCGCGCGTGGGTCTGGAAGGGGCCCTGTTCCCCTCTCCTGTCAGGCTCCGACCTCGCCTTGTTCCCCAGGCCCCTCTGGGCTGAAGCCTCCCAGAGCCGTGCCTGGGACCTTGCCCGGCCCTCAGCCCTGCGTCCCCATGCCTCTGTCCCTGTGCCCTTTCCCCTAGCTGGACGGAGTCTGTCCTGCCGCGCATGCTCTCCCCTCTGTCCTCTTCGCCCTGGGTAAGTCTGTCCCAGGTCTGTGGTGTAGCGTCAGGCCCCACAAACCGCAGGGCCCAGGGGCCCAGCGCCCGAGGCCTGACTGGCTGTGGGACCGAGGGCAGTCCTGGAGCAGCTGGGCTGATAGTCCCCGTGCAGGGCACACTTGTCAGCCTCTTGCCTGAGAAGCTGCTGCACCGGCAGCACTGTGTGCCCAGCTGGAGCCTGGCACGGTTTACCAGCATCAGGGACAGGAGGGCCCTGAGCATCCTCTGGGGAGACGGCGCTGGTCAGAACCCTGCACCAAACCCTGGGCAGCTGCTTCCCGAAGATTAGCTCTCTGTGAAATGAGGAGGAGGATGGCAACATCTGTCTCACACTTTCTGCTCAGCGAGACGCGATTACTGCCCGCTGCAGACCTTCCCTGGGGGGAGAAGTTCCCTTTACGTTGACATCGGCACCTCAGGAGAGCGGAGGGCTGGAGAGCTGCAGCGGGGAAGCGAGGCAGCGCGTGCGCGTGCAGAGCGCTCCTTGAAGGGTGTTCTGGATAACAGTCAGTCCTCATCCGCAGAGCTGCCCTGTAAACTCCCACGAGGACTTTCTTCTTTCTCCTTTGCTGTACCGTGGTGGGACCTGTAGGACCTGGTCCATGCAAGGCATGTGCTGTAGCACTGGGTCACACCCCAGCCCCCCAGTTGTCCTTCATGGGGAGCTGCGGGCCCGGAATGTGGGGAGTGCTGGCTTAGAGACGGACGGCGATTGTGTTGCCTGCAAGATGTGTGCAAGTGACATTCCGTGCATCAGCCTGGCCTGGCCCTGCGTCCTCCCGGCTGCACACCTAGGGACACACGGGCCCCAGTCGGGGACTTGAGGCTGCCTGGATGAGCTTCCATCCCTGTGGTCTCAGAACCCTCACCAGAGCCCGTGTCCCTTTGTCCGGAGGGCTCCGTTAATCACCCCGGGCCGCCTGGCTGCCCGCCTGCCTGCAGAGTCCCCACGGGGCTGTTCTGGCAGTTTCGCGCCCACTTCCAGAGCCGGGCTGGAGGAGACCGCAGGTGGCGGGGCTGCAGAGCCCCTCAGAGACAAGCACCAGCCCTGGCGATGCGCCTGCGGCGAGGCGCAGACACACTCACTCAGTAAACATTTACTCTGTTGGCAGGCAGGTGGGTACTGGAGGCACAGAGGTTAAAAAATTAGTCTCCAGCCTGAGGAACAGTTACAGAAACGGGGAGAATAATCAAATAATTACAGTAGGCGTACAGTAAGGGACACAATGAGTACCTCAGGTGGGAGGCAGTGGAATACTTCAACTGGGTTTTAAGGGATGAATAGGAGTTTGCTAGTGGGGTGCAGAGGGACCAAGGGCATGACAGGCATGTGCACTGTAAAAGGGCCTGTGTGAGTGGTTGGGGGGACAGGTGAAGGACCGGCCAGCTGTGGAACATCTGCCTGTGGGTGGATGTGACTCACTGCGGGGTGTGCTGGGACTGGCGTACCCTGTAGAGATGAGGAGGCTGAGGGTGAGGGTGGCCGGGGGTGGTGAGGCCCCATCAGGGACGTTTGCTGTGCCTGGAATTAGGAGGCTATCTCGACATGGGCTGGGTGGCCCCTTCGGAGGTGGAGAGACAGCCAGCTCATTGGACAGAGAACGAGGCAGGGTGGGGCGTGGCAGGAGCAAGGCGAGGCTGTGGCTGGGGTGATCGGGAGAGGGACTGGGAGGAGCGAGGGCTCCCCGCTGGCCAAGGGGCTGCTGTCCACACTGGTGAAGTGACCGCGCAATGTCAGGACTCTGGTCCCGGGCCAGTGCCCCGCCCCCGCGCCTTCCGCCCGCCGCAGCCATCCGTGTGCAGGGCCTTGCAGTCGGAGGGCGCTTACTAAATGCCATCAAGAACAGCTGGCGCTCTGCTGAGCCGGCCCGTCCCCTTCCTCCCTGCTGTGCGAGTGGTTGGGGCGACAGCTGAGGGCCCTGCGAGGGCAGCGGTCTCTCGGGAGTGCTGTGGCCCCGGCCCACCGGTGCTTCCTGCCCCAGCCCCGCGTTGCTGAGGGGCCTGCGGGGGAGCCCTGCTGTGCTGGCCCAGGGGCTAAGCAGCTCTGGGGACCTGGAGGGCCAGTTGGGTGCCCACGTGGTGCCCAGTGCTATGGTCAGCCCTGGGCAAGACCCTGCTTCTAATGGCCTGCTCCCTGCCTCTTCCTGGGCCGGTTCTGTGGATGTCACTGCGCTTGTGGGTCTTGGGCGTAGGCCTCATGGACAGGGCAGGACCACTGTGACTGTGTCTGAGCTTCTAATCGCCACTCAGCTCCACCCTGGGCCCATGTCGGGGTGAAGATTTGCCTGAGAAGCGAGGCTGTCTAGGCAGGGAAGCCACAGTGGAAGGTGGCTTCACGTCAACACCGGGTCCCCAGTGACCTTCTAGAACATTCTCACTGCCCCTCAGCAGGCTGTTTGAGTGGCAGGCAGAGCTTTGCCAGGAAGCAGGTGCTTGGTGAAGCAAGGGCTGGGGATCAGGCTGCTGCTAACCCTCCAGGGCTGGGAGCCCCGGGGCGTGTGGGATACTAGCAAGGCAGAATGGCATTTTCTCCCTACCCACCCCAAAAAGTGGGAGATAAAGCACCTTTTGAAAGAATTTATTATACCTCGAAATGAAACAGAGCAAAACACCCCATCGCAGTGGACCTCGGAATCCTAGGAGTCCTAGGAATCCTAGGAGTCTCCAAGAATCCTAGGATTACAGGCCCACCAAAGTGCCTGGCTTCAAGTTTTTTCTAAAACAAAAAAGAAGGAAAAGTTTTAAAAAGAGTGCAAGGACTCACCACCCAAAATGTCAGAGGTGGCTGGGTGTGGTGCTGCATGTCTATAATTCCAGTCCTCAGGAAGCTGAGGCAGGAGGATCACTGCAAGTTTGAGG